ACTGAAGGAACTCCACAACTTTTCATTACTAATTGGTACATATTTTACGTTTCCATTGTTTACTGGCAGTAAATGGTAAATATTTTTCATGTCTGAAGCTAAAAGTTGCTCCTCGCCCTTCCCATCATGCACGGGTTCAACCTAACAAAACTATTACACATGTATAGGACGACCCCCAATTTTTTGCCTAAAAATTTGGTCTTAAAAACTCGAACTATACACGAGTATATACGGTAATTCAACCCACGGCGGCCCCCAAACTCCACTTTTTGACAACACACAACTATGTTGTAGTAAAAATATTATCTTAACTTTATGATGGTATGCACACACAATTAATATAGAAGAGGTTAGGTTAGGAAAAATAAAGGTTAAGTTAGGAAAAATAAAGGTTGGGGTTAACACTTACGTTAGTAGAAGAGATGGGTCGGCGTACGGGAATGGAGGCTGGTTCCGAGGCAGAGGGCAGGCTACTGGCCCTCAGGTGAGTCACCATCAATGTCATCCACACTTGTCAGGGCCTCCCTGACAAATCCCTCAAAGTCATCATCACTGTCTCTACCTCTGTCACTATCACTGGCTTGAGCTGGCTGTGGTGGGTTGCGGGCGAAGAACTCTGTTATGCTTTGCTGACGGCTGGTGTTTATGTTGTCGTGATAAACCTTGATGTAGGGCTCCATAGTCTGCAACAGCTGGGTAGTGAAGATTTCATACCTGTTTGCGTCAGGGTCGTCGGAAAGGAGGAGCTTGACTTTCTCGATACACTCGATGGCACCCCTAACATTACTATGGGATAAGCGGTGTTCTTCTTGGGATGACGCACCACCTGCCTCTTCACTGACGTCATCATCATCTACCCTCTCGTCGGTAGTCACATCAGGATCCCTTATCTTTTCCAGGATGTCGTCGTTGGTGGTCTCGGAGAAGCCTGCAGCTGTAACACTCTGCGCAGCTTCTCTGGCAAGGTCCACTGCTACTGCAACAGTCTGAACCTCACCAGTCACAGATTGACTCTGCCTAACGGCCGGAATGCCTTGCAACACATGTCTCCATGCGTGACGAACAGTTGCTAAAGACAGCTGATCCCATGTTGGTGTAGTTGTTCAGGAGCTTGAATTTTTTAGTAGAGAATGCAGCTTTTACATTACAGATTAACTCTTGGTCCATGGGCTGTAATATAGACGTAGTGTTGGGAGGAAGGAAGACCACTTTTACGTTGGGGTGACGATCTAACAGTAGGGGCGAGTGTCCTGGTGCGTTGTCCAGCAGCAACAAAATCTTGAATGGCACATTCTGTTGCTCACAGAATTTCTTCACATCGGGAACGAAACAGTCATCAAACCAGGAGAGGGACAGTGTAGAGAACATCCACGCCTTACGTGCGGTCAGCCAGTGGACATTTAGCTTGGTCATGTCCATGCTCTTGTAGGTGTGCGGCTTGCGTGCTGTGTGGATCACCGATAACTTGAGCTTACAGGTACCGGAGGCATTGGTGGTAAACAGGAATGTGATGCAACAAGGCAAACAGGATTCTTAGGTTCATATCTAGGAGTGTGAGTAACAGAACTGCTGACGTTATCTTGAAACTTTACCTAGCATTAGTGAGGCCACACATGGATTATGCGGTTCAATTCTGGTGTCCTTATTATAGAATGGACATAGATTCTTTGGAGAGAGTACAAAGAAGAATGACAAAAATGATCCATAATATTAGAAACCTTCCATATGAAGAAAGACTGAAAAGCTTAGGCTTGCATTCATTAGAGAGGCGTAGAGTTAGGGGAGATATGATAGAGGTGTTCAAGTGGGTAAGTGGGATTAACAAGGGTAAAATGGAAGATGTTCTGAAGCTCAGTAATAACGAAATAACTAGAACAAATGGCTTTAAATTAGATAAATTCCGATTCAGAAAGGATATAGGCAAGCACTGGTTTGGTAATAGAGTTGTGGATATGTGGAATAGGCTACCGAGTGCTATAGTAGGATCGGGGACGCTAGGGAGCTTCAAGACGAAATTGGATAGGCACATGGAAGTGCTGGGATGGGTGTGAAAGGGATCTGCCCTGTATGGGCCAGTCGGCCTCCTGCAGTATCCCACTTTCTTATGTTCTTATGTTGTTCTGCAACTTCCGGCCCCGAATCTTGCTGGCATTCTTCACAACGAAGGTCTTGGAAGGTAGCTTTTTCCAAAAAAGACCAGATTCATCCATGTTAAACACCTGGTCGTCGGTGTACTGTCCTTCCTCCATAATCTCACGTAAAAACGGAGGAAATTCCCAAGCCGCAACACGGTCAGCACTAGCTTCTTCACCACCAATGTTGATATTGGTGATCTTGTTCCTCTTCTTAAACCTCTGTAACCACCCAGAGGAAGCATTAAAGGGTTTGGGCTCTGTAATTCCCTTTTTTCGTGACACTGCAGCATACAGTTCACGTGCGTACTCCTTAACTGAGAGTGTGTCCACCGCCATGATCCGTCGCACCTGACGCACCAAGTAGCTCACAAGAAATTTTTCCGTCTTGAGAAGCACCTGGTTGTGGCAATACTTGATCATAGAAGCACCTGTAGACTTGTTCCTTTCTCCAACTCTTGTATGATCTTATACTTAATTTTGTAGCTTAAGGAACGTCGTGTCTTCTTTGGCTTAGGGCGGCTGGGTCCAGGTAAGGAAAGGTTTCTCTCTGGGGGCGGTGGTCCGGCGGAAGCCATTTTACAGAACAATGGATGGACGATAACACGGTGTGGCCTGGAGGGATGAAACTGCCGCGGCTAGGTCAAGCGTCGTCTTTCCTCCCTCCCTCCCTCCCCCGGGTGGACACGTCATATTACTTTAAACCAATTACAGCTAGCAGCGGAGGGAGGTCGGGATGCATGGCCAATCACAGTCCGATACGTCATATGACGTCACTGATAACGCAACAGAGACATGCACTGCGCAACCTTACCACGCGGCTTGCCCAGGCGGAGGCGGAGGCAGGCGGGAGGGGCGAATCTAAAAATAGCGTCGAGTCAGACACTCTCCGCGTGAAGGGGTACACGCACCTCGGAATGTGAGCATTCCGGTTTCGGCAGGGTACCGCGTAAACTTGGAAACGCGGAATGTGGGACCGCGTAAACGTGGAAACGCGGAATGTGGGACCGCGTAAACGTGGAAACGCGGAATGTGGGACCGCGGAATGTGGGACCGCGTAAAGCGAGGGTTGATTGTACAGCAATTCTCTCAAAAACTAGTGACATCCACAAGGCAAGAATGCTCTCATATGATATCTAAATATTGTACTGAGATATGCATGATACTGCAATCTAAAGACAGTACTGTAAATGAATGCTGTAATAAGTGTTCAAAACGAATGATGGCTGAGGTTTGTCACTGAAAATTTATACCAGGAATGTAACACAAGCATTACTTACCAAGGTGAAAATAGTGTGGTTCTCTAGCATACTAATTGAAACATATTGTCAACATCACAGTTTGTAAGAGAAAAATTGTTTATGGCTGACAAATATATCTACTGTACAGTATTATCAAGCATCATATATGAATAATTATTCCACAAACCTAGCATTAAAAGCAAACACTTATCAAATCCCCGTAAATGAGCATATGATCTTAATGTTACAGTCCAGGTACTTCAGGTTGATATCAAACAGAAATACTGTATACACCCGTAATATTTTCCCACATCTCTGGGAATGAATTTAAGCATTAGCAGATGGTGTAGGACAGTTACAGAAATGTGTTCCTACACCCCGTGGTAACCTGTGTCTCCAAATGGCAAGGTCACAGTAGTATTACTATTTATGAATGATTGGGTATTGGTCGTGTAACGACGGACGTGATTGGTGGATTGGTGTGCTATAGGTCATTATACTGTATATACAGTATACTGCGTTAACGAGAACCGCGTAAAGCAGGGTATATATATATATATATATATATATGCAAGTAAATCACTGTAGGTGCGCGTGATCTAGGTATATGCTGATAACCACAAGGAAAGAAGAAAACACGAAGTTCCCAAGCGCTTTCGTGTAATTCACATCTTCAGGGGTGAGTACAGACTAGCTGTACCTAGTCTGTACTCACCCCGTTAGATGTAGTGCAGCAGAGACCGTGTTTTCTTATTCTGTGGTTGTCAATATGTATGTGTATGTATATGTATATGTATATATATATATATATATATATATATATATATATATATATATATATATATATATATATATATATATATATATATATATATATATATATATATATATATATATATATATATATATATATATATATCAGCCGTTTGGAGATATGAGTTACCACAAGGGGTGTAGGAACACATTTCCGCAACTTTAACACAAACCAAAACTATGCCAGTTTCTCCTAGTTCATGTTAGATCAATCTACACTAAAGACCTCTGAATAAAATAGCAACCATATATTTCCATATGTCTTTAGGATAATTGTTATAATTTCTATATAAAATACAGTGGGGTATGCTATAACGAACGGATCCTACTACGAATATTCCTATAACGAACGGTTTTACCTATAAAATTGAGAATGCTATAACGAACGAAACTCCTACAACGAACATTATTTAAAAAAAAAAAAACTTTTTTTTTTACTAATTTATTGTTTTTTTATTACAAATATTAATGATATTCTTTATTTCAGGGGTTTAGATGCATATGTATGCACTTTTTTACAATTTTTACAATTTTATATTATATTTTTCAGTGTTAAGTGGTTGTATTTGGGGGCCTGGAACGGTTTAATCCTATAACGAACGAATGCTATAACGAACAAGGTTCTAGAACCAATTGGATTCGTTATAGCATACCCCACTGTACAGTATTTCTGACTTTTTGAAAGTTTAAACAGATGTGTACACAAGAGCAATTACTGTATGCAAATAAACATAATAAAGTAAATCTTTAATGAACAGCATCGGTTTATTTCGTGAACAGGGTTAAACTATCAAGCACAGGAAGAAAGACTCACCCATAAAGTAGGGCTCGACATAGGGCCCGCCAGGCTTGGGCGACGTGTACCGCGGAGAGTCCTGGTTGAAGTCGTCCGAGCCATACTGGAAATAGAAGAAAAACCATCAAATCACCATTATGACGAAAGAGCCATATCCCTATTGATTATCAGCTGAAAGTATACAGCACAATATAATTCCTATTTAATAAGTTTCACCAATCATTATGCAGTAACATATAGAGTAATATTACAGTAAAGGACATCATTATAATTATTATTACATTCAATATAATGGACGAGTTGACGGTTCTGGGTAATCACAAGAAACACACTCTGCCACATTCTAAGTGATATAGCATACAGTATATAATTTGTAATAAAATTTTAAAGTCCTGCTATAATAGTCGAGATATGTTTATTTCTCTAGAAACAGGGCCTACAAACTCGGAGGTAGTAGAAAGGATGGCCTCTTCAGACCCCAAATACCACGTTCAGGTAAGTTTTAAGGTTTTTTTTTTTTATGGTCAAGTCATGGACATTTCATAATTGAAGAAATGTGCCGTGAAGAGCTGCTTCAAACAGATTGGATGGATATATGAGCGATAGGGGTTGGGTGTAAATGGAACTGCCCGGTATGGGCCAATAGGTCCACTGCAGTTTCCTCTATTCTTACGTTCTTTTGGACATAAAAAACTCCCTTGTTCACACCAGCTCAGTTGTCATGAATTCTTACCTGGTAGACTTTCTTTTTTTTCAGTGCATTTACAGAGTATATCAGTACTAGATTGAGATATGAGTAAATTTATAAGTAATGGCATTGTCTGAACTTTGTTTTGAGAATGCCTGATGCTAGGTTAACATGACAACATAGTGCTGTTATTGGGGTCCGACTAATTACCCAAATGTACCCAAATGTAGCTGCAATGAAGTCAAATAATGGTCCTACATGAATAAATCGGACTGCCAATCACTTCTCGACTAGTATTTGGTGTCACAAAGTAAAAAAAAATTGAAAAACGTAGTTTAATCTGAGTTAATAAATCGAGTGCATGTACCTAACCTAACCTAGGCTAGTATTTGGTGTCACGAAGTCACAAAAAATTGGTAAACTTAATTTAATCTGAGTTAATAGATCGAGTGCCTGTACCTAACCTAACCTAACCTAACCTAACCTAACCTAACCTAACCTAACCTAACCTAACCTAACCTAACCTAACCTAACCTAACCTAACACAACTCAGATTAAATTAAGTTTATCAATTTTTTGTGACTTTGTGACACCAAATACTAGTCGAGAAGTGATTGGCAGTCCGATTTATTCATGTAGGACCATTATTTGACTTCATTGCGGCTACATTTGGGTACATCTGGGTAATTAGACGGACCGGTTATTGTTTTGGTCATCTCTGTACTTACAAATGCAGATATTTTTTCTGGTGGTTTTCGATGTGTTATGAACGATTTAGACCTTCAATTCTATAGGAAATAACTAGTTTTTAATTACCATCCCCCCCCCCCTTAGCGATATATGTTAAGCTAACCTTAGAACTCATCACAGGGCTTTTCGCAGTCACGTGACTTTTCAGCAACTTAAACCCTTCTTCTTACACTTTTTGGCCCAATTTGTTTTAAAATATCATTACCATGTTGAATTTAAGCTTTTTTTTTTATCAATTGACCTGCCATCTTACGAATAAATTCCGACCCTCAACTCGTCCATTCTGTAGTCAAGAAACAAAATGAAATTCTGCACACCTGGGTACTTCTGATTATTAACAGGAATATATATATATAAAACCCAGTGTGTTATATTGTATGACATCGTAAAGGCGCAGATTTTTCTTTACTATATCTGGCGTCCTAATAGGCAATTTTTATGAAGCCGTATTCACATAAATGAGTTATCTTTAACAATTATAAACCATAAAAATATACATAAAAAATACATGACCCACAACATAAAGTAAATCATGTAGCTATAGTTATAAGATTAACGTAATAACTATAACTAGTCAATGCGCCTGTTATCATATTAAGACCAATTTATGGGTGCACAGTCTGCCCGCTGTTGGGAATGTTATGCGGCCCCTGTAATATAATGTAATACAAAATTATGCTATTATTCGTAAGTTCTTATCTCCTCTAATCTAGCATTAACTGTCCCGAGTCTGAATCCCGCCATAAGAATATACTTCAATTAAAAGTGATTAAGGAATAGTCTTCTTAGTGTTGTGCGATCCTTTATGTGCCCTCTCAATCAACGCATGTGTTTCAGTCATGCGCACATACTGTAATGCGCAGTAAGAGTTGGATTGTCTAGTATGATAACTTAACGTCGTGCCAAGAAAAAATATACTTTGTTCCGTGTTATCAGTGCACAGGTATCCTTTGTATTATATGGTTATTAATAAACGCAGTTATGTGATGCTTGAAATTATAGTATAAAAGGCATACACTAGAGCCTCAGAAGTTATAGTTACATATAAGTACGTTTCGAGCTAGGACTTTTCCTAATGAACAACGCTGTTACACTTCTGAGAACCGAATACCCTCTGAGAACCGAATACCCTCTGGGAACCGAATACCCAGTCACCAAAAGGTAACCTGGGATGTTGTACCCATAGGTGGAACACACAATTAATTTATTTTGCCTATCGCAAAAAATCGTTTTAACGGGATAGCCATAAGCGGTACAACAAAATCCTTCATTGGTATTCTACTTTTGGTCAACATATATCGAGAATTCAAGTAATAATTAAGGTAGGTAGAAAAATATCCGTCATTCATATGGTAGTGAAGATGAATGACGATGCCGTGATGACGGTGGGGATGAATGGTGATGTGGGGGTAGTGGAGATGAATGACGGTGATGTGGTAGTTGAGATGAATGACGGTGCTGGAATGGTGGTGGGGATGAATGACGGTGCTGGAATGGTGGTGGGGATGAATGATGGTGCTGGAATGGTGGTGGGGATGAATGACGGTGATGTGGTAGTAGTGGAGATGAATGACGGTTCTGTGATGGTGGTGGGAATGAATGACGGTGATGTGATGGTCGTGGGGATGAATGACGGTGATGTGGTAGTGGTGTTGGAGATGAATGACGGTGCTGTTACGGTGGTGGGGATGAATGATGGTAATGTGGTAGTGGTGGTGGAGATGAATGACGGTGCTGTGGTGATGGGATGAATGACGGTGCGTGCCATGGGTGTGAGGCGCGTGATGGTGCATGGTGATGGTGGAGGGATGGGGGGAGGGAAGAGCCTCAAGTGTGCGCCAGGGAGGAAGGTCTCCCGTGATGCACCAAGGTTGTAATATCGGGTAATATCACTTATCGCGTCGGTGGGCCAGCAAACCCAATAATGTGGCTGGGCGGCCCCCGACGCCTCATCCAATAATGGGTAGCCTACTGCTCTCCTCACCACTATCCCTCTCCTCCTTCTGCCGCCGCCGCCGCCACTACCACCAACACCACCGTTAACACCACGCTATCATCAACATCGCTATCACCATTATCAACAACCAAAACTTATTCACCAGGCTGTCTCCATCATCACCACAGACAGTATCCTCCCCCAATCACCAAAATTACAATCAACATTACCCCTAAAATCTACTTCCCAACACCCTCTCGGCCACTTACACCAGTACAGTAACCACCGCCAACAGGAGTAATTAATTCTCTGTCGGCCACTCGCTTGGGTGAACTTACACCACAACACCATACCATCTCCAACCTAACCAATTACCATCACCACCAGCGTTAAGACCACAATCACCAACTAATAACCTACACCACTACAATATTTTCCTCGTGCCTCCACACCTACAAATAACATCATTACTAACGCATCACAACGCCAACCAACATGGCGTTTCACCCACAATATTTACGCTACGAGTCACACTCAGGAGTTGGGTACTGTGACAAGTGGTGGACGACGCTGAGCAAACTGGGGGATGATAGCCTGAAGATGGGCTGACATTGAAGTGTGAAGGTGGGTAGTGGTCGGGGAGTCCTCTCGTCATATCCAATCCAATCCTATCATAATTCTTAATCTAACCTATAAGCTAAGCACAAAAGACAGAGCACTCAAAACATATATAAACGATTATCACAGTATAAACACAGTACCTTCAGTAAGTCCGTACCCCCAGCCTCACGCTGCCTCTCTCACCACAACCCCACAATATCACGCTGTCCATGTCCCTGACTACAACCTCACGCAGCCCATAACCCTCACTACAACTCCACACTATCCATATCCTTCACCACATCATAATACTGATCTTGTCCTACCATGGGAGGACCAGCCCATTCTCATCTACACCGTCCTAGTTATTACATTCTCCCCCACAATACACTCCATATTATCAAGTGTAAATACCCGCGATCTAATGCCCATATCCCCGTGTTACCACGCCCATCCACTGGCGTCACCACGCCCTCCTCCACCGTTCACTTGGGGACATGTATCCCCATGCTCCATTTTCTGGCCAAAAAGATTCCAGTTATTAAGGCGCTTCAGCCGTGGACAATAATTACAAAACGTAGGCTTACAGGGTCGTATGCGTGGGGGTGTGTGTCGAGAAGGGTCACGCTGGCTGGTGATGATCTGACTCAGTCAACTCCAGTACACACAAAAAAACACAAGCCAAGAAAAAGAAGTAGCAGAGGGGGCTGATCAGCTCCCGTCTGGCTGCCTCTGACAAGCCGCCGCCAACGAAACAAAACGAAATCGTCCGAACGCCAAGTGTGGCGACTTTAATATGAGACTTATTGAAGCTATAAACTGGGAGTAAATAATAAATGGACACTCATAAAGCTAGGAAGTGCCACGCCGGACATCAAGATGGCGGGCGGAAGGGCGTAACCCTGCCTGCCGCTTGGGCTCATCCCCAGCCACACAAACCACGTCAACTTGTCCCTTACCGCCCGCGCTGCCACTCTATGGCTTTTCATTAAGTTGAGAAGATAATTTCGCGGAGCTGAATATGAAGAGTGCACTCAAGAAAATTACTTAATACGAGCGATAAATGACTGGGTGTAAACATCTCCACGCCGGTAAAAGTAGTATTAGTCTATGTCGAAATTGCTGTCTG